AGAGAGAGAGAGAGAGAGAGAGAGAGAGAGAGAGAGAGAGAGAGATGACAACAGAGCAATGGGATTCTCACACGATCATCATAGCAATGCACCATAACGTCCTTTCTTGTTTTTCCCTTTTTTCAAACGTCCTTTGTGAGGCAGGCAAGTTTTGCCACTGTTCTGGTAATCGGTTTTACAAATTTGAATTTTAAAGTGCATTTAAGTATGCAGTACTATGCACACAGAATCATCGCTTGCGTTCCTTATTTTAGAAAGTGGTGAGAGATAGTCGGAGATCATTTCTACAGTTTAGTGTGCCTGGCCCGTTCAGGATTTACCGCTTAATCATTCAACTCACGAGGCACTTGGCGGCTGATCTCAGCCGCCGATCTTTGCAGATTGGCGGCTGGGACCAATCACCGAAGAAGACCTAGATCCAAAAAAAAAGAAAAACTAGTGTTGCTGGAGGCTGGGGAGGCGACCACTACCCGAAAAAGGCCCATGTTCGTCACCAACCACGGGAAAGGCGGTGAAAGTTTTATCGTGTACATTTGTCGTACTGTGTACACTTTCAGGCAAAGCTTCATCTCGCGATAACTTGTTCCCGGAAGTCGTTCCTCTCATGTATAGTCAGTGATGCGAATGCATCAGCAAGGGTTTTGTGCACACAAATGCAACCGCTGTTACCGCTGTTACCGCTCTGAATTTCCTGGGTTTACCCCTTTTTCGACTCACAAATATTGAGTTACAACAGTCAGTTCACAGAATCATAATCCTTTCCAAAACGTGACATTCAGTAGCTCAATTGATTGGTGAGAGATTCGAGCCAAACAAAACAACTGCTGTTCAATTTGGAACGGAGGAAGGGGACTGAGTCAGACCTGCCTTACTTCCTCCCACATGTCCTTCGCCGTACGTTGGCCATCGTGCCCTGTGATCGTGAATCGAGGACAAATTGATACATCCACATGCTCCGTGTGCTGGGATGCAATCGCAAGACTGATGGGCGGTACTCCCTTCGGTCTGCAAGCAATGAACATCATTTGTAAGATGGCAAAGAAATTCATCAACTGCAAGAAAGGCGATGATGAACGAAGAACGCTAAAGTTGGTTGAACATCAATACAATGCCTATGCCTAGGATATTAAATCAAAACCATGTCTGCTAGAAATTACCTGGAACACGAGCTATCCTGCACGAGTCAACGGGCAGATGACAGAGAAGATGGAAGATAGAGTCATATAGAGCAGGAGGAAAGGAAACGAGTGGGCAAGGACGTGTAGATAGGCCATAGGTGGGTGGGTTTATGAATGAGTGAGTAAGAACAGGGAAGTTCAGCATCTGCAAGAAAGGTGAGGATGAATGTTGAACACTAAAACTGATTAAACATCAATATCACGACTACGATTACTGGGACACAAAATTCAGGCCATGGCTGCCAGAGCATTGCCTAACAACAACAAGCTATCATGCACGAGCGAAGGGGCAATGGACGGACAAGATGGAAGGAAGAGTCATACTGAAGAGGAAGCAAAGGAACTGGGGAAGGGGGTGAAAGTCGTGGGTAGGTGGGTGGGTAGACACATATGTGAGCAAGTAAGTGAGCACGTGAATGAAAGCCCAAGCAAACCGCTGAGTGAGGAAGTGAGTGAACAATTGAGTAAGGGAGCAAGCAATAGTGGGTGGGAGATGGAAGGGAGGGAGGTAAGAAGGGAGAGAGGCAGGATGTAATCAAGACAAGCATAGTTAAGTAAGGAAAGGCTGGGAAGAAGGGGAAGAGAGAACAAGGGGAGAGAGAGAGAGAGAGAGAGAGAGAGAGAGAGAGAGAGAGAGAGAGAGAGAGAGAGAGAGAGAGAGAGAGAGAGAGAGAGTTTGAGTGAGGGACAATGGAAGTGAGTGAACAATGAAGTAAGCGGGAAGTGATAGTGGGTGAGAGGTGGAAGGGAGGGAGGTAAGAAGGGAGAGAGGCAGGACGTAACGAAGACAAGCAA